TACATTACATTACATTACCTTACCTTACCTTACCTTACATTACATTACATTACCTTACCTTACATTACATTACTTTACCTTACCTTACATTACATTAGATTACTTTACCTTACGTTCAGCTACCACAGACCCACCTTAAGCGTAACTAATTCAAGTTGAATAATCAATGTCTTAATCAAACTTATCTCAATTGTAAAGCATGTATAAAGGAAATATTTAGAATAAAGCCAATATATAAAATTCCTTTCCGTATAGACGTATTTACGTCAAATTCTCCGGAACCATGGTTCCACTGACAACTTTTTTTACACCTCAGACACTTGCAGCTGGCAAATACCTGAGCTCACTCTTCTTTTCCTTCATATCTCTTTATCAACATAGTAGAGTGTCCTATTAACCGTATCCCATGTCTTCTTTTAGTTCCTGTAAACTCATTCTCATAATCCTTCCTACTCTTCCACTTCAAACTCTATCCTACAGACATTTCCCTCTTCAAGTCTGGTGGATAAAGACTGGCCACGGAATGCAAGGAGAAAACACCATGGTACTTTCGCAAGAAAACCCATATGAACAGTGTGATAAATCAAAACGGCCCCGAGTCGATGTCATTGTACTGAGAGTCGCCTTGAAACCCCGTGGCAATGAACATCGTACAGTGTAAGATTTAAGGTTTTCACAGCGGTGAGTTTAAAGATTTCTGTATTCTGGGTTGTTGCGCTGTGTAGTCTCGTCGATGTGTACCAACGTTACAGGAGTCGTACTGCCTCCGTCACCAGGACGATGAATATTCAGACATAAATCTTCAACTTCGTACAGGTTTATGCACCCACAAGTACAGTAGATGATGACATTGTGGAAGCGTTTTAAAGTAACCTGGGGGCAACGTCGGGTCGACTGCGGCAACGTCGGGAGATTCTACTCGTTATCGGCGACTTGAATGCTAAAATTGAAAATACGTATGCAACGGATGAATACTACGGCGGCATGGAAAAGTTTGGACTGGGTGACAGTAATGAACTTGTGATTCAGTCTACTGCCAAGAAGGTTGTACACATGGAAGTCGAATGATGGTCGAACAAGAAACCAAATCGATTACATTCTGGTCGACAAGCGATGGCGCTCTGCAGTGTGCAGGGCTACAACATTCTCAGGCGCAAAGATCGGATCAGATCACCAGTTGTTGTGTGCACGAATGCGAGTCAGACTACGTTGAGTTGGGAAGAAGATGATGTTTAGAAGGGAACCACTCACCAGCGCTGAAAGGAGACGTTCATTGAAAAAGTGTCGCAGGTTATAGTCAGTAATATCAATAATGCATGGAACAATGATGTGGACCCTGATACGATGTGGACGCAGATGAGGGACTCTGTGCGGTCGGTTGCCGATGAGACAGCGCAAGAACGTCCATGCCGACCAAAAGAACGTCAAATGTGGATGACTGATGCGAACCTTGAGCTTGTACAACGAAGGAAGTCATTTAGGTAACAGGCACCAGATGGGTCACCATCACAAAAATATCATGATATATGCCGTCAGATACAGCGTAGATAGGGAAGAGTCCATTGAAGATGCATGTCAAGATGTGGAGAGGCATGCAGTGAAGAACGAGATCAGTGCAGTGTACAACAAGGTGAAGCAGATGACGCGCGAGTTCAAACCGAAATCGTGGGCTGTAAAGGCTGAAGATGTCTCCATTTTGTGGGCAAGGGAGCATGTCATTGAACATTGGCGCCGTTACTGTAAAACTCTGTATGAAGAGGATGTGATCGTACAACCATCAGCAGATATCCCACGAATCGTGATCAATGCCGAGCCAGAACCAGATATTCCTCTTGGAGATGTGGAAGAGGCGATAAAGAAATTGAAGATACGTAAAGCTCCAGGATGTGATGGAATAAAAGCCAAACTTAAAAAGGATCTTGGCAAAGTCGCTGTTCGAGCTCTATGGAAAGTCTGCAAAGCCGTCTGGAATACGGGCAGATGGCACATGGTGCAAATCAGTGCTCATCCCGCTACACAAGAAAGGGTCGGCGCGCATATGCAGCAATTATCGACCATTGCGCTAATTCCGCATGCCTGCAAAGTACTCCTGGAAATCATAAACACCAGGATGACAGCATTTTTAGACAGGCAGATACCACCAGAACCAGCTGGCTTTGTCCCTGGACGAGAAACCCGCGAACAAATACTAAATGTGAGACGAAAAGGCGAGGGAATTCAACATACCCGTAATTATGTGCTTCGACTATTCAAAAGCTTCCTACTTCACTGTTCTAGATTCTAGTGGAGATTGGCGTACCAAACTATCGTGCCGGACTAGTGCGATCGCTGTACGAATCTAATGAGATGGTCGTGCGTTTGAATGGCATCGATTATGAACCATTGAAGGGGCAGAAAGGAGTACGGCAGAGCTGTATCTTATCGCCGCAACTGTTTAACTTGTACGATGAATAAAACATGCGGAAGGCACTAGCTAGCTAAATGTGCGGCGTCTCGATTGGCGGAAAGAAGCTCTCCAACTCGAGATACGCGGACGACACGACCCTTAAATCCGCAAATAAATAGCAGATGATCAGATTTATTGACCGGGTTAAAACCATCATCGAAAAACTGGGTCAGTTTATCAACACGAGCAAAACAAAGTTGATGGTGGTTGACCGAGTCGGCAGACTTAGGAGACTGACATCGCCATCACTTGGTGTTTCGAGAAAGTGGAACAGTTCACATACCTCAGTTCGCTGATTGAGGCTTCTCGTGGCTCAAACGCGGAAATCAGAAGACGGCTCAACATGGCGAAGTCGGTGATGACGAGGCTATGGAGATTCACATGTAACAAAGAGGTCTACCTGTGCTTGAGAATAAAGTTAGTGAGTAAGTTCTTGTTTCCGGTGGCACTTTATGGGGCCGAGACTTGGACGATGAAAGCGATCGATCGAAAGCGCATTGATGCCTTTGGGATGTGGACCTGGAGAAGGATGATGAGAATCCCGTGGACGGCACATCGCACTAACGTTTCCTGTTTGGAAGAGGTGAAGCCGGACTCAAGACTTAGTGAAGTCTGTGCAAAATGGGTACTACAGTTCTTTGGGCATTTTGTCCACGTGACGCGTCCAGCATTGAAAAGACAGTCATTCTAGGGAAAATCGTGGACAAAAGAAGTCACGAACGTTGCCCTTCAAGATGTATAGATCAGGTCGCACAATTGACAAACAAGCCGATCGCCAACGCAGTCCGTCTAGCACAGCACCGCGAGGGCTGGAGAATAATCACGATTCATTTTGGTCACGAAGGTCAAGCTTGACCATAGACGATGAAGAAGAAGAAGAAGTAGTTACTTTTTAGATCAACTATGATACTTTCCTTCCACATTTGCATAGGTGTCTCATGTGGTCTTTTTTTCTTTAGGGTTTTCAGAATTATATTTTATAAGAATTTTTGATCCCTTTTAAAAAGTGGTACAAGCCCTGTCTACCTGATCGTATTTGATTTGAACACAATAACATTTCTTGATTTTTATTTTCCTCCCTTGTCCAATAACAAGCACTGTATCTCTTAATGGTTACACGTGGCTTTGATGTTATAAGTGTGCATCCTGAATTTGTCTTAATAGACCCATTATCACTTTAACAAAATTACAGGTACACCGAGATTCTGCATTTTGTCACCCGCCGTGGCCTACTCTGTGTGTCTTTACCTTCTGCTGATGGTGTCATTTTACTGCAGCCTCCAGGAACGCATGATGTCTCTCCACGACAGAAGGAATTTTGACTACAAATTATACAATGTGTTACACGTGTCTATATGTGGAACCTGTGTGATAATCCCTTTGCTTATGGCATTAGACTTGAAGAAGCTTGTTCTTTACACAGGCGAATGGATGCAATATCAGGTTAGTTTTATTTCCTAGGATTAAAGTAGTAGTTTGAGCTATGTAATCTTGTGATTTTATCACCTTAAATATATCAAAAATACAAGAACGATGGTAAAATTGCGAACTTTGTTCGTAGTTTAGTTTTCATTGAGTTCTCTCAGAGACTGCGATCTTAATTCTCAGAATTTGGATATGCTGGAACTGAGGTGGCGAATAGGAAGACGGCTGGCTGTCTTCTGGGATGGAGCGCCGTGTAGACATAAAGTCTACCAGAGGACAGTCATCTTCCGAAGTATTGTTTTCCAGTGCAATTATTCTGTAGATATGCACTGAATTTTTTCTGATTATTTCGTTGGTATAATGCATATTAACTCAGTACTCTTAATGTTAGTACCCTCTTATCTTTCTTAGTTATCATTCAGCTTGAAGTAATAGCTGCATAAAATATAAAGGCATTATTGAATTAAGTGAAAATAATATAGGTTATGTTCACCTGATGATGGCAAACTTTCATCGAAACTCAGCCTAAAAGTACATAATAAAGTACGTTTGTGGTGGCTATATAATCTATGTTGGTATAAATCTTGTCATGAAGTAAAAGTCAGATACCACGCGCTATATAATAGGGATTTATCAGTTATCACCAACAAAATAAAACATTTGGTACCATTGTAAGATTTGAAGCTTTCATGGTGATTGAATGCAGTGCCATTAGCCAGATTACAGCGGCGATGTAATCTAACTCTTCGGAGACTGTGTACCACAACCACGATTCCATTCTTATAAGTCTGATGTCCTGAGAAAACTTCATTGCATTTCGTGCTGTTGTCATTTTGTTATCAAATTTCTAGATTTCTTGATCATAGAATTTATAGGGAAACAGTTTTTTATTTTAAAATACAGATTCAAAACTGTTTGGTAGTGTTGGTGACAGGTTCTTTTCGCAAGCTCACAATTGATTTTTTCACACCAATGTTGGCTTGAGTTGTTTTGCCATTTGATTTCAGCAAAAGTTGTATTGACACAACCCTTTGTTGCAGATACTGTTCCGGAAAGTCACTGGGCAGCTGTTGGTATTGTCCGTTCGAAGGCGATGTATTTGCTACGCAGTTCTCAGCTGCTTGGGAGGAACTTCAACTATCTTCTTTTACTTCTACGAACCACGAGTTCCTTTATTAGCCCTACCTAGTTATATGTTTTCAGGCATATTGGCGGAAATTATGGTTAGTTACTGGATGATCACTTTCCACAGCCTTTCGTTAGCTGGCAGCAAATACGCGACATGTTTCAAGGTACATTTGAGTTTGCACGTTGCAACTGGGAATGGTTTCAGACAAACAGGTCTAAAAAATTCAGGTGTTCTAATGGAAAATTTTTTGACACATTTTTTAGTTTTAACAACTAGATATTTTAGGAGCTCAGAGATAGCTCAGTCAGTACAGTGACTATCTACGGGCTGATGTTCGATCCTCGAACGATTTTTCTCCTAGCCTCTGCGTCCTAACCGGTTCTGGGGCTCACACAGCCTTTTGTTAAATGGGTACAGGGATTCTTTTCCAGCGGCCAGGGCGTGATACCTACCATTCATCCCCATCTAGTGCCGATTCAAGAATGAGTACGAGCTATATATACCTCTCCTCACAAGCGACCTATATGGGGTGTAGAGGGGCTGCTTTACTTTATTTTTACACCTAGGTATTTTAAACGAAATTACAGGGATTTTAAAAATGTTAAGTTATAAGAATTTGATATTAGACACACATCCGTCAAACGACCCACAAAGAGCGAATAATTGAAATTTTTTTATGTACTTACTTGTGTATTCGTTCTTTTTCTTAGGCTAAGAATTCCTGGACCTTCACCTGTAGCTCCACGCACGTAATCACAGTTTGTTTTTTCCTGTGCCTTGTACTACTTTGTCTGAAATTAACTTGTTTATTTTCTTTGTGATGTCGTAAGTTTAGAAATGGTATACACGAAAGTGTCATTGTGAAGGCATAAATAAACTGTAGATGCACAGTATCTTTCATATGTAACTTGCTGTCGAGTTAAAAATATGAAACAGATAATCAAATTAATAATTATTTTGAATCGACACATTCTTGTTTATAAAACCCTGCACATTTTATCAGACATGTTTTCCTATACGTTGATGTACAGTAATATCTATGCTGCTACTTTCGAGTTTGGGATTGAAACTATGCATTTTATAAGCCCATTCCATATTTCTCCTCTGTTAAGGTACTGCCACTGGGAACTCAGTTAAAAATTTTGTAAAATACTTTCTAATGTCACAGGGCAGTAGTTTATGTTCATAACGGATATAGTACATCGGCCTGTATATATGCAATATACATGTTCAGAAGAAGGGAGATGTCTGTTCTCATCTGAACATCATCAGCGTTACATTCTTCAATTTTATCATAAATTAAAGATTTCCGTCTTCTGGGTTGTTGCGCTGTGTAGTCTGGTCGATGTTAACCAACGTTTCAGAGGTCATACTTTACGGTATCATACTTTAAGATTTCGTAACTCTATTCCAATTTGCATATAGATTCCCTCACAATGATATTCGCATAAAAGATTTGTGTACCAAATTTTAATATTGGAATGTTAACAGACATACTTAATCTTGTTAACGTGAATGAATTAATCTTTGTTTTCCAGAGTAAATTAAAACAAAGAACCGTGTCTGCAGAGTTGATAGGGGAGTACAGAATTCTGTGGATGCGTTTGCGTGAACTGGTGTCAGGAGCAGGTAAGATCATTTTTGTATCACTCCGCCTTGTGACTTAAACCTGTTACATTTGATACACTGCGTTTTGGGTCACATGATTATGGAAATTACTTACAATGTCGACCTTAATGTTTATTTAATAGGTGTGTAGTTTGTGTTAATTGCTGATAACCTAATTACAGTACGTATGTCAAACCTAATAATTGATAAAATATTTTTCCACACATTTATTTAATTAAATTACTACTACTAGGGGATAATGTGCAAATGGCGGTCACTTAAGAGTAAATATCAATAAAACAAAAGGTATAAGCAAATTTGAAGCTTTATACAAAATGCTATTTAGTCTGAAGTATCTACTTCTAATCTATGCAGTATAAAACACGTTCGACGTATCAAAAAATCTGTTGGAAATGATAACTGTAGACGTTGCTTTGACCGGTATTCTCCACCCTTTGGGGTACTGACGATCACTATTTGAGCTTCAAGATATCACTGAAACAAATAAGATAATGAGTGAACAAAATGTTTTCTTAGTAAGTAATAGTCATGTATGTGAGTTTTCAAAATGTGTACACATCTAAATCATATGAAGGTACAAATTCCAATGTAATTCTAAGATAAAAATCTTCAATGCCCTTTTTAATTTTGTGTTTCTTCTTTTCAAACACAGATCACTAAGATAACCATCCGTAAATTCTCAGCCACTGCATTCTGCATGTGCCCAGATACCACAGCCTGTGCATCTGCACCAGAGTTCTCCGTCTTTCTCAAATTCTTCACATTTTTCACAATCTATTCCTATGTCATCCTCTTCATTTTCGTCAAGAATATTTTGATCATTTATGTCGGTGTCCTCTTCTGATAAAGTGAAGTATACCATTTCTTCAGATTCTTCCTGCAGCGTTTCTTTCTCTCTTGGAGGCTTGTTTCCTTATTTTGAATTTTCTTTGTAAATATTGATGTTTGCCTACTTTTACTTGCATTTCTCTTTAATGCCTAGCTTTCTAAAGAACCCTTCATGGGTGTCCCTGTCAGAATCTCCGAGTGCTGCTTGCCTCTGCTTTTTCTGCAATGTGTCCGTGGACCCACCGTAGGTAATGGAGATCCTTGCCCGCCATTACCCCAAACGCGTAACCTCAAACGTAAGGCGCATTGCCATGAAATAGCACATATTTATTCATCATCATCTACGCAGTTATAACATCCAACTTTTGCATGTTTTGTACACCCACAAGAAAAATTCATATAATTCAAAGAAAGTTCTTTCACCTCAGATATTTCAATGTAAAATATTAGATCATATGAGCACAAAACAGACATATGCAACTATCTCGGTAACTGCACCAGAAGCTAGTGGCGGAATTCGCTGTTGACCTTTACTGAATCAAGCTCTGGATGTTAGCACTAGCTTCAAGCTTCTATCTAATACGTTCGTCAGAAAATTACCTGACTGGAATTACACATTGATTGCCATTCCCCCGTCCTCCCCTATATCAATCTATCAGTGTTTAATATTATAGCCAGTGCGAGGCATGTTTGATTATAGGAGTGCGCATTACGTGACATGCCGAAAAAACGTGGGTAGTACATGTAATGGAAACGCACATCTTTATTGCACTCGCCGTCACTGGGAATAATTTCAGCACTGTTTAAAAATATTACACAACTATTAGTCTGCTGAAACTGTAACCGCATTCAGGGCGCAGTTTTAAATACAAAGATGTCTCGGTTTGTTGCAGGAGTTGCGACGGAAACTACGTTGGCCCTGTACGTCATATTTCTTCTCTTTGGCCAAGTCATGTGCTTGTACGGACTCCTGTTTGGGATCAGCGATGGTCACTCCAGCAGAAACGTGACGATGACTGTTTGTGGCGTGGTCGGACTTCTGTTTGTAGCTCATTTCTATTGTGTTTGCAGAAAAGCGGACTACATAATGACAACTGTAAGTAAGATCAAGTGCAGATAAAATATTACAAGTTTTCGACATCCATGTGTGTACTTTTCTTTGTATGAAGTGGTCACTGTACCCACAATGTCAAAAATACCTGGCGGTGACCATACCCCCACATCAACACGTACACACTCACAAGATCGAAAGTAAAATGCAATCGTCGGCCATATGTCAATTGTAATTGAAATAAGACCCAAAATTTCATTACGTCCCAAATACTTACAACTTTGTTTCTTACTGCAGGTCGAAATAAAAGTTCAGAAGGAGTTACATCATATCACAACATGGTGCAGAAGGCAGGACATACAGCAGGAGGTCAGTATATGCATGGAGTACGAATTATCGAAGGATGCTGGAAAGTAGTGCAGAAATTTAATGATTCAAAGCATTTTCGTTAATTCAGGTTTGTGTTTTTGGAGCGTATAAGTTTGTATATTAGTTTTCGTCGATAAGAAGTTTCTTTCTCATGGACAACTTTCTTTACTATCGGTAAGCATAAAATGGTGTCGCAATTTCAAGATTATAGGAATTACATTCAGTATCTCAGCAGTGATACATTTATCATTCTATTTTACCCAAAGTTTAAATAAAGAGTGCAAACACCCCTCTTTCTAACAGACATGACCATTCCTTGAATTGCCTTAAGCAAAGTCTAGCTTATTGTTTAATTTACAGGAGTCAATTCATGGACTCTTTCTTTAACCGGCTTATAGAACAAAATGAAACGTATAATGAGCATTATAACTACATTCTATAGTAAAGTAGTAGATTGTCTATTCTGTTCCTTCGGGGTTTGTGAAGAGAATTTTGCATTTGCCTATTACGTTTTCCTCCTCTGTTGAAATACTTCCATTGAAATATCAGTTTTAAAATTTTGTAAAATAATTTCTCCTGTCACAGGGCAGGAGTTTACGTTCATAACGGATATAGTACAACGGCCTATATGTATATATAATGCAGAACATAGTAGATGTCTATTCTCAGTTGACCATCACCAGCGTTACATTAGTTAATTTTATTACAAATTATTTTCATTTGTTTACGGTATCATACTTTAAGATTTCGTAACTCTATTCCAATTTGCATATAGATTCCCTCACAATGATATTCGCATAAAAGATTTGTGTACCAAATTTTAATATTGGAATGTTAACAGACATACTTAATCTTGTTAACGTGAATGAATTAATCTTTGTTTTCCAGAGTAAATTAAAACAAAGAACCGTGTCTGCAGAGTTGATAGGGGAGTACAGAATTCTGTGGATGCGTTTGCGTGAACTGGTGTCAGGAGCAGGTAAGATCATTTTTGTATCACTCCGCCTTGTGACTTAAACCTGTTACATTTGATACACTGCGTTTTGGGTCACATGATTATGGAAATTACTTACAATGTCGACCTTAATGTTTATTTAATAGGTGTGTAGTTTGTGTTAATTGCTGATAACCTAATTACAGTACGTATGTCAAACCTAATAATTGATAAAATATTTTTCCACACATTTATTTAATTAAATTACTACTACTAGGGGATAATGTGCAAATGGCGGTCACTTAAGAGTAAATATCAATAAAACAAAAGGTATAAGCAAATTTGAAGCTTTATACAAAATGCTATTTAGTCTGAAGTATCTACTTCTAATCTATGCAGTATAAAACACGTTCGACGTATCAAAAAATCTGTTGGAAATGATAACTGTAGACGTTGCTTTGACCGGTATTCTCCACCCTTTGGGGTACTGACGATCACTATTTGAGCTTCAAGATATCACTGAAACAAATAAGATAATGAGTGAACAAAATGTTTTCTTAGTAAGTAATAGTCATGTATGTGAGTTTTCAAAATGTGTACACATCTAAATCATATGAAGGTACAAATTCCAATGTAATTCTAAGATAAAAATCTTCAATGCCCTTTTTAATTTTGTGTTTCTTCTTTTCAAACACAGATCACTAAGATAACCATCCGTAAATTCTCAGCCACTGCATTCTGCATGTGCCCAGATACCACAGACTGTGCATCTATACCAGAGTTCTCTGCCTTTCTCAAATTCTTCACAAATGAAATATTTTTCACAATCTGTTTCTATGTCATCCACTTCATTTCCGTCAAGAATATTTTGATCGTTTATGTCGGTGTCCTCTTCTGATGAAGTGAAGTCTACCTTTCCTTCAGATTCTTCCTGCAGCGTTTCTTTCTCTCTTGGAGGCTTGTTTCCTTATTTTGCATTTTCTTTGGAAATATTGATGTTTGCCTACTTTTACTTGCATTTCTCTTTAATGCCTAGCTTTCTAAAGGACCCTTCTTGGGTGTCCCTGTCAGAATCTCCGAGTGCTGCTTGCCTCTGCTTTTTCTGCAAGTTATTCGTGGACCCACCGTAGGTAATGGAGATCCTTGACCGCCATTACCCCAAACGCGTAACCTCAAACGTAAGGCGCATTGCCATGAAATAGCACATATTTATTCATCATCATCTACGCAGTTATAACATCCAACTTTTGCATGTTTTGTACACCCACAAGAAAAATTCATATAATTCAAAGAAAGTTCTTTCACCTCAGATATTTCAATGTAAAATATTAGATCATATGAGCACAAAACAGACATATGCAACTATCTCGGTAACTGCACCAGAAGCTAGTGGCGGAATTCGCTGTTGACCTTTACTGAATCAAGCTCTGGATGTTAGCACTAGCTTCAAGCTTCTATCTAATACGTTCGTCAGAAAATTACCTGACTGGAATTACACATTGATTGCCATTCCCCCGTCCTCCCCTATATCAATCTATCAGTGTTTAATATTATAGCCAGTGCGAGGCATGTTTGATTATAGGAGTGCGCATTACGTGACATGCCGAAAAAACGTGGGTAGTACATGTAATGGAAACGCACATCTTTATTGCACTCGCCGTCACTGGGAATAATTTCAGCACTGTTTAAAAATATTACACAACTATTAGTCTGCTGAAACTGTAACCGCATTCAGGGCGCAGTTTTAAATACAAAGATGTCTCGGTTTGTTGCAGGAGTTGCGACGGAAACTACGTTGGCCCTGTACGTCATATTTCTTCTCTTTGGCCAAGTCATGTGCTTGTACGGACTCCTGTTTGGGATCAGCGATGGTCACTCCAGCAGAAACGTGACGATGACTGTTTGTGGCGTGGTCGGACTTCTGTTTGTAGCTCATTTCTATTGTGTTTGCAGAAAAGCGGACTACATAATGACAACTGTAAGTAAGATCAAGTGCAGATAAAATATTACAAGTTTTCGACATCCATGTGTGTACTTTTCTTTGTATGAAGTGGTCACTGTACCCACAATGTCAAAAATACCTGGCGGTGACCATACCCCCACATCAACACGTACACACTCACAAGATCGAAAGTAAAATGCAATCGTCGGCCATATGTCAATTGTAATTGAAATAAGACCCAAAATTTCATTACGTCCCAAATACTTACAACTTTGTTTCTTACTGCAGGTCGAAATAAAAGTTCAGAAGGAGTTACATCATATCACAACATGGTGCAGAAGGCAGGACATACAGCAGGAGGTCAGTATATGCATGGAGTACGAATTATCGAAGGATGCTGGAAAGTAGTGCAGAAATTTAATGATTCAAAGCATTTTCGTTAATTCAGGTTTGTGTTTTTGGAGCGTATAAGTTTGTATATTAGTTTTCGTCGATAAGAAGTTTCTTTCTCATGGACAACTTTCTTTACTATCGGTAAGCATAAAATGGTGTCGCAATTTCAAGATTATAGGAATTACATTCAGTATCTCAGCAGTGATACATTTATCATTCTATTTTACCCAAAGTTTAAATAAAGAGTGCAAACACCTCTCTTTCTACCAGACCATAACTATTCCTTGACTTGTCTTAAGAATAGTGTAACTTGTTTAATCTACAGGAGTCAATTTATGGGTGCTCCAATTACTACATCCAATATTCAGTTACTTTAAAATGACGAGAAGGATTTAGACTACGTGTTTCATTCAGTGACTTAATTTGTTATTATTTTGAAATCAAATAGTTCAGTTCATCGGTTTGTCAAGTTAGTAACATTTTGGGGTAGGCGTAACAGGCTTCATTTATCATTTTTCTTAGACTTCCAGGCGTATTCCATCAAAATGCCCTACCGAAAGCACGAAGAATCTATTCTTTCTTATATTTACGTGCTGTAAGTCGATATTTAGACAACTGATATGCTTATTAGGTTAGTTGGCTCATTGACAATGGGAGGAAAGCTATAAATATACAAGAATGAAGTTGGCAAAACAATCCAGCCTGTGGCAAAATCCTCCAACTACATTCTTCAAGAAGCTGGAAAGGGCTAAGCTGTTTTATGTGTGCCTCAACTTCTCTTCAATTTACAACATTTATAGCAATTTCTTCGTTTGCCTAATTAGAAGAAAAATTATTTTCGTATTTCTTTGACATAGCACCAGTCAGAGAAATTAACGCATTGGGTTACATTATTTATGGATAAAGCTTACAATTTCTTTTGTAGAGAAGCATAAAATCAGAAGTAAACAAGCTTACTCATCACCACTCTAATAATATTTACTCTTCCAAGTAACTGAGTTCAGGTAGACTACATTTCGGTCTCAGTCCAAATATCCTGTCCTTGTTAGATCAGCTGTGAACGAGACATGAACAATGTTTGTATGTTGTGTTTTATTGAGATGATATTAAAATACATAATCTGTTTTTGAAGGAACTGGTTATGAATCAACATCTGGAGCAATAACTTCCTTGTAGCTCTTTTTCAGATACACAATTCTGTACTTTTACGAAATTTTAAAATACCAAAAGATTTAGTCAGTAGGAATAATGAATTTTTACAGCTTAATAATACTTTGTGAGATAAATAGATCTTTCGTAATAATCCATGATATATTGTTCTAGGTAAACAACTTTCTAGGAACGATATCGATGAATCCTCCAGTGATATCAGTGCTGGGTTTTGCGAACATAAACAGAAGATTGTTCGCTTCGGTGAGTATGTAACTACTTACAATACAATAACATATTATAATTTTAATAATCTAGTGTATATTTGACAAGAGAAAAAGTGTATTACTGTAACGTCATATATGCATATGCAAACTACGACCGTCTTTGTTGTGACGATCTATAGACTTGTAGTTTGTTAACATCGCGCTGAAAGAGCGTATCGTCTCAATTTTCAGGATAGATCAATACAGG